CACACCAAGTCAGGCTCAGCACACAGAAATGCAAGTATTTTTCTTTTCATCTAATAGCTCTGAAGCCAGAGCACATTTGCCCCAAGTGCTGGGGTAGAGGTTTCATCCCTCCTTCCACCCAAGATTCCCAGGCCTACACCTTCCCCTCCCAAGAAAAGCGGTTTCAGGCTGTCAGAGGCGGGGTGCTTCCCGGCGGGAAGGTGCCTGCAGGTGCTGCAGAAGCCCCAACCTCTTCCACAGCCAAGCCCCACAGGGTACGGGCCCAGCCTGCATGTGACTGACCCAGAGCCAGGCCAGGGAGGGGGGCACAAAGGACGACCAGGATCTCAAGGGCCAAGATCACATTTCAGCTTTTATTTTCTAAGGAACTTTAACAGGCATCCCTAACTCTGTGCTGGGAGAAAGGGAGGAGGAACCCCAGCTGCAAAACAGAGCTGTGAAGGTTAAAAAAAAAAAAAAATAAATGCCCAAATCATGAAGTATTCCTTTTCTTAGCAAAAGCTCACCTTGCCCAAAGGCCCGTGGGCAGTTTGGGGACAGAGCCGGGCCACACAGCAAGCCTGCTGGAGGCAGGGGCTGAGGTACAGCACAGCTCAGGGGGTAAGAGGGTCTCAGGGCTGAGCTTAAAAGGTGCCCTGGGTGGGAGGTGGGGGCCCAGGAGGGGCTGGTCAGGGCCCATTAGTGCCCTCAGCCCAACAGGCCTGTTGGCTGGTGCCATGTAGAGAATGTAGGCCCAAGAGTTAACAAAAGGAATAAAAGTTGCTTGAGGAAAACGCCCTGGAGTAACGTATGTTCAGCTTTAGATTTATACCTGGTGAAGGAGCTCCTAAACAAATGCAGCTTGTGCTGACAAGGCTGCCTGTGCAATCCTGCATGGATTGGCTTTGCACAGGCACGAGGAAACACAAATGTTCAAAGATACTGGAAAAAAAAGCAGTAAAAGGAACTGGAGGATTCATCGTAATGATATGTTATTTGATTTAATGGCAAAAAAGAGGCCTTTGGAAACTGGTTATTGGAGGGTCTGCTTCCAGAAAATGGTTTTCCCTGTTAGTTTAGTTTTCTAAAAACAAACTAATAAACCAAAAAAACACACAAGCCTCTGGACATTTTTAGAACTGTTCTGAACTGAATCTTAGTTCTGTAGAATTGTTTTTTCGTTAATGTTATGCATTACTTCATTTTTCAGTTTTGCTAAAGACCAGAAAGTCTAATAGCCCATTAAAAGGCTATTTTCTATTTAAGACATATCCAAACAATAAAATGAAGGAAATTTAATCAAAAAGCTACAGATTTTGCCAGAATTCAACAGTCTGTTCTGGAAATATGTTGAATTTAGACAGTTTGGATAGGTTCAAGGACTTAATCATACATTTGAGTTCTCCAGTTTTAATCTGTTGCTGTTATAATACAACGGGACCAAAAGATCTCAGGATCTGGATGTTATTTATAAAACATCTGAGCACTCCAAGTCATATACTCTTCTAACGCTACTGGTTTAGTGGTAAAATGTGATTTGGAGAGCTTCTTGGTTTGGATCTGTCCACAACAACAGCAGTGGTTTAAAATTAGTGCTTTGAACCACTGATTACTATGTATTTAATGTCATGTTAGTGCTCTTTTACAGGTTAAATACCAAAAGAAAAGGATTCTCTTGGGACATTTCTCTGTCGAATGTGGAAAGCACTCCTGGGCAGATAAACTGTTTCTAATAGTTTGTAATGAACAGCAGCTCTAACATCTTAATTTGCTCCAGCCAGAATCACAAAAAAAAAAAAAAAAAAAAAAAAAAGTTATCTGTCCAAGGGTTTGATTATTAAGAAAAGTTTTGACAAAATAGGATAGGAAATTACTTCAGCTAATGTAGTTACAGCTTGTCCATTTAACCTTGTATACAGGAAGCAAGGCATCTTCAAATAAAAATACAGAAAGAAACCAGTAACTTCTTTAAGACTGGTACTCAGAGCCTCAGTGAAGCAGCATTTTATATCAAATGTGCTAGCAGGCACATGAAAGGCACACAATCCCGTTCATGTACTTTACAGTATCCATTTAAGTTTCTTTTCTTTAGATCACTTTTTCTTATAAAGTCAAAAAATACTCTGCTGGACAGTCAGAAAAGAAAAATACACTTGTGGCTGCAGCCCAAGCAGTAATTATGCAAGTATCTTTGCAGATGAAAAATATTCACCTCTAATCTGCCAAGTTGGTTACTTTCTGAACTTATCTTACTGTCCCTGCTGACATTACACACATGGCTCCTTGTTGTGATGGGGTATGTATTTGTTTGGTAAAGTTAATTAATTAAACAGAAATCATGAGCCTGTATATGTTTATGTTTTAAGATATATGCGTAATCAGTGCTTTCAACTTTCCTGATGTTGCATTTTCTTTCACCGATTTTAGGATATTGGCCAACATTTAGTTATTTTTCTATATAATTATTCCTGAAAAATTCTTGTTACAGGGCGTTCTCTATTGCATCTCAGTTGTGGGATCAAGAAGCATGTGGCAACAGCAAGCTATGTGATCATTTACTCTCAGGTAAGTCCAAATCCCTCAAGGAAAAGGGTGAACTAAGGATTCATAGGATAATGAGTATAAAACTACCACATCTTACCCAGTGACTGCTTATATTGCAGCCTGATAACTATTTCTCAACTTGTTCTTTTGCTTGTTATTTGCTATATGCAGTAGTCACAGATTCAAAGCACTGTGCATCTGTTCAGACTCAGAAGTCTATATTGAAGTGTGTAACTGAAGTGCAGAAGGGAAACTAACTTTTATTTTCTAGCACTAAAAATAATTATTGATAGTATTTTTATCCTCTGTTAAAGTCCAATTTGAGAAGAGGGCAAACTGGAAAATAACACTGATCTTTGTCAAGATAGATCAGACCTTCAGTCTAATTCTCTGCCCCTAGCAGTAGCCAAATACGAGAAGTTTCAAAGGATGCTTGCTCGCAATCACATTTCCAAAAACAGAAGCACACTGGGGCCAGAAATGAGTGCAGCTAAAAAGCTATCATTTCTAATATTAATCATATTAGTTAAAATTAGAATTGAGTGTATTTTATATCATTTGTTATGATAAAATCAATTTGTGGAGGGGAATACTCTTACAGTAACGTGCAAGCCATGAATTCCACGATTGTGGTAGCTTTGTTTTTATCGCTATTACAAGAAAAGCTGGCAAAATAATCTGTACGCTTGGATGTTTCAAGCACTACATTTTTTGGTCCAAAGCTATGGAAAGAAAAAAACATACAAAAGTACAAATTCATAATATAAAAACTACTCCGGAAGAAATGTTTTACTGGCGAAGAGTATCAAAACAAAAATTATGACAGCTGCCTTTTCTTGAATGTGTAAGCATGGAGAGTTGCTTCCTATAGGTTTGAATGACTTAAATAAATATGAAAGTACTGGTTATCTGAAGGCAAGACAAGGATATGTATATAGGTATGTGTCGAGATAAGTCTGTGTCAAGTGAGAAGCGCAGAAGAATTGTTCAACATTGCAGAATAACTGAATAAAGTCTCCGACACTATAGTAGCTTCTGGAAATTCCAGTACTATAATTTGTGTCCTGTATTTGGGTGAAGCAGGAAGAAATATTTTGAAGTCAATTTAATGCATGTGCCAGGTGCTTGGATTAGCAGCTCTGAAGAATGAAGTCCAAAGCACAGAGCAGCATGGCTGTCCTATATATTCTGTCTCATTCTGAAGGTTACACTTTCTTTAGAGACAAGAGAGTAATTTAATTCCCATGTTCATTCGGCCCCTGGCTCAAAGCCCACAGAATCGGAGAGAGAATATTCACCTATTTCAGTGGGCTCCAGTGTCAGCCTTCTGTGTTTTGACCTGGTCCTGCAAGCTATTTCTCTGGCGAGTAATTCTGGGTGAGATGTTCTGGGACCGCAAAATCTCACTTCTTTTTCAAGACCAGGAGTGCAAACAAATGCTGCATCTAGACGTGGATATGTATCCACTAGAAAGACCCCCCAACACATTTCTCATTTGTGACAATCCTGAAAACCTAAACTTGTCTTGCATTCTCACAAATCTTGTCTGAAATCTTTCCTTTCTTTCTTTCTCCTATAATGCCGTCCTTTCAACATGTTTACTCTCCTAATGCAGGAGGCAGTTCTTTATCTTTCGAAAAGTTGCATTGGCTAATGCGACTAGTCAGGTCAATCAGAGCACTATGTGCAGGACTGTCCCCAAACAAAGAATAGTGTTGTTAAGGAAAGTCAAATCTTAATGTGTCTAATCAGAGAAATAAAACTGTCCTGGTTTTACATTAATCAGGGATGATTTTGTCATTGACTTCAGTGGAGCTAGTATTATCAGTAGTACTAGTAATACCAGGAGTATTTAATTAATTTGTTTTTCTAATTTAAGTCAGGTGAAAAAAACAGCACACGGACAATAATAAAGGCTAGAAATGTCTGTCTGTAAGTATTAAATCAAGGGCAGAAGGAATCTAACTCATTAAAGAATGCAAAAGAAAAAATACAGTACATAGTTTTTTCCTTGGATCTAAACACCACCAAATTCTTTACTGATTTGAATAATTAATGGTTTTAATATTTTCCTATGGACAACAGGAAGAGACCACATTATGGCTGTGACATGAATAATTGCTTTCCTAAGTTTACTTACTTTCTGCAGTAATAAATATGCATAAGGCTCAGTTTAAGAATTTCACAATATACTTAAATTTCTGATCAAGCTGATTCGAATTAAGTCCACCACGCTAACCTTTTTCAACAGAACTTTACAACATACTATAAAACTGTTGTTTAAACAATGCTTCCCATAATTGCCACCAATAAATGATACCTTTTTATTGCCATTAGAACACTCTTGGTTACCGGTTTCCAGAGATTGCTGCAATGATCTGTACGTAACTTTGTGTTATTTTGTTAATAATTGTATGGTCTTCTTTTTAGAATTCAGGAACTGGAAAAGTTTAAGAAAACATGCAAAATGCTGAGGATACATGTAAGTGAAATATTTAATGTCCATCATTCATAAAAGTTACATTGTTTACATAGGGTTCATTAGTATATAATAAAAATGTCATCTTAATGAAAGATTTTCTGGCAAGTCTTTTATATGTTAATTTGTTTAACATACGCTTTGGCTATACAGCTAAATAGGAATATACTTTAAAAAATCTTTCTGCAAATAGCTGCTTAACAGTTACAAAACCTCATTACTAAGAATTGGTTATTGTTACACTTGCTTGTTGGCTTGTAAAAATCATCTGTGATTTGGACTGGGAATCTTAGGACCAACTTTTTGTAAAATACTTGCTCATTGCATAGTGACCATGTAAACGGCTCGGGGATCCACAAATTATGTCCTTGTACTCTGAAAGTCACTGAGGATTTTACGTACTGTACTGCTTATGCTGGCTTATATTGATGAAGAATTTGGGGATTGTTTTATTGTTGATGTTGATGGGAATTGTTTTTAAAACATGTCAGTGTTATACAAGAAGTTAAAAAAATGAAAAAGTTAACACCAAAGGAAATAATTTTACACTGTGCAACAGTATTGCTACCTCATTCTTTTTGATTTTGGATATATATAACATAGTGGAACTGCACTGTACTGCTTCTTTTCAAAAGAAAAGTTTAAATTAGTTGAAACAATTAGCTATGTGTTTACATAAAGTTAACTATGTTTGCATCAAATAAAATGTTTATTAATGAAAGCTATTATACAAGAAACATCAAGGAGAAATTCATCATACAGAAATGTACACTATATGTGACAGATGGAAAAGTGCATGCAGATTTGTCTCATTTAAAAAAAAAAAAAAATTCAGAAACAATAGTACTAAAGTTACTGGGTTTTGATTCCTATGATCTTGAATGAGTGAAAAGCTCTTTGAATTTACAAAAATCCATTTAACAGATATGACTAGTACACATTAGCAAGCAAGTGGAATGAATGCACTCAGGTTTTATTTTACAAGTACTTGTGCTTGACAAATGTGATTTTTTTTTAAAGAAAAGTTTTCTTCAAATATGGGCTGGGTAGATTGCTGCCAGGTTGCTCTGGTTTTATACATAGTTTCTCTAAATTTTTTTTAATACCACACAATTTGTTGAAGCCTTCAGTTCTGTTAATTAGACACCATAAAATAACATATGTTTTGTTAACATTCAGGAAATGACATCAAGTCTTTTATTTTTATTTTTTGGCTCAATAGATTTTTAAATGTATGATTATCATAACCTAATATTGTCTTTGTCTTCACTGCAGTGGATTTCCGATCAAACTTTTCCCCTTCTTTTAATACTTTAGGGAATTTTCAAACGTCGGGATGTTTGGCTGTAATGCCCCATGATTTGTTCTCCCTGAAAGAAATCATAGTGACAATTTATTAAACTACAGAGCAACCTGGCTTTTAGGGGTCTGCAATTCTATTTTGTGTTCAATATACCTAGCATTAAATCTTGATTCATTTCATCATATTATTTAGGTTATATTTGTCATGCAATTACTTTAGCTGCTAGTTTTCTGGCTTTTTTAGAAGTCTAAGATAGGGTTTCAATATCAAATCAGTGGGGCATTACTTTGCATGTTCAAAAAAGGAGGTTAAAATGCTAAAATCTAAATTGCACCAGCAGTAGCATATACATTGAATATGAAGAAATCGAAAACCTAAGAAGAAACCATATTTTAAAATATTTAAAAGGCCGTGTTTCCGTGTTTAATACCAATTGTTCACAGATACCGTAAAAGCAAAGAGACACACTGGTACATGTAGACTTTAAATTAAAAAACAAAACAAAAACTGTTGGGAAATAAAACTCCTTAGATTCAGAATGGTTTATTCACACAAATTTAATAGGATATATCACAATTGTTTGGTCCATAAATATTTAGGGGAAATAGTTTCTATACAATGCATTTATCAATAAACAAAGAAACATGGACAATTTTGCTAGACCACTTACTGTACTATAAACACGAAGCTCAATATATAAGATTATTGGATTTATCAACTATATCTGAAAGAGTGCACAACTGCTTTCTATGACATGTTTGTCCCCTCTAACAGGATACACCATAAAAAGAGTTTCAGAAATAAGAGGTAAAACAGTACAAAACTAGTGAGGTGTCAAAAGGGTTTAAAACAGTTAATTTAACAAACAACACATATATCCTGATTTTTCACAAACTTACTCCCAAGGTATATCATAAGGCACATAGTAGAACTGAGTTTTAATTAGTCTACTTAATAAAGTAGATCTCTAGTACCATATATTGTTCTGTCAAAGAACAAAATTTATAAGTATCAATATTTTTACCTGTAAAAGTGTATTAATAAAGATCTCAGCCTTACCAAGGTCGTTTGGTCTGGTTAGTGGTAAATGCCCATAAGGTAATAGAAATAGGAAAAGTCAAGATTTAATATCCGTAGAAGATGATAACCATACTTGCTAAATATATAATGGCAAACACACCTTTCTTCTATTACAGTGTTAACATCTCTTCCATCATCTTTTTTTAAAAATAAGCTACTTTTCTGTGCTAATTTTCTAAAAACCCTGAGCAAAAATTACAATAATGCACTTTAATGTGGGCAGTGAACTGTCAATATGTAACCACACATTTATACAGCCAAAAAGGACACCTTTAAAATATATTAAATAGCCACTTTGACCACCAAAAAAGAGATTTGATGGTGTCTAAAAAGTGGGGTATATGTGCAAAGTTATTCTTAACAATCCACTAAAAGCAAGACATAGATCTTGACTGGTTTTTGTTCGTTTTTGTTTCTGAGACTCTCCACAATCTAATTGGTGTTCGACTACAATAAAAGGATACAAATGAACATTCACCACTGCCCAGACCATTCAGACTTTTAGCTTAAATAAAATTAAAAAAAGAAAGGTCACTATTGTAAACTAAGAAATGTATTCAGATCAGCATCCACAAGGCTTCTGAGTTTATCTGCTTTAAAATTATTGACTGCCAATTCCCATTTTTATAAGAATTTTTGCTAACATTTTTTTCATTTATACAAAGTTTAAGAAGTTAAAGTATATGTTAGAGATGTTAATGAACTAAAGATTTTAAGTTCACGTGTTAAACAAAGTGTCTGATACAATCTCAGGAAACATCTAAAGTAAATTCAAAATAGTAATGAATAAATTGTGCTGAAATAATTTTCCTTAAACATCTTAATAAATTATATTTTGCTTATTTCCATTTTCCCTGAAAAAAAAAAGTATAATTTATCAAAAACTCATTTTAACAGTACACATGCATACATCTTCTTGGAAATTATTTCTGTGCTCACTAGTGTAGCTGGGCAACCTCCTGTTTGCTTTAATGGTACAGCATCAAGGCCATGCAGCGAACCGCACTTATATTTTTTTAATTCCAAATCAGAGCTGCTTGACAGACAGAAATAAAAAGCCCTCCCTATGTGATATTTCAGATCAGTAGGACTCCTCACGTGAGTTGTTATTCTGCTGTTATCGCTTTAATAATACCCTTATAGGAGTGAGCTCAATCTGGAGGGTGTTTTCCAGATCTTGCCTCCTTAATGTACAGGACACAAATTTGGAGACCGTCAGCCTGATCCTGCCATCCTCACCCACACGCACTCTCATCACTGGGACTCTGTCTCCAAGCCCTCCATCCAGGCAGAGCTTTCAGTGGTGGCCAAGGACGTCCCAGCTGGGTGAAGAACTGGCAGAGGAACATTTAGCTACCCCAGTGAGACTCCCCAGTGCTCAGGGAGGATCAGGCTTGTGACTAATGCATTAGGAAAAAGCATGGGCACTTCCAGTCTGAGTCTTTCAATGATTAGTATAATTCATTTTGTATTTATTTTTCAACATTTAAAAAATAAATCATACCGAACTTTTAGATGCATTATAAAAATAAAATTAAATTTGGGGTTCTTAAATGCTGTAAGTGAACATACAATCCTGAAGCAGCATTCTTTTGGCTAGAATTAAACTGATTTTTATCTGGTTATCAAGGAGGGAAAAGAATCTCTTTTTTTTTTGTATGTGTGTGGTAGAAATCATTTTTTCCAAGGTTCTGGAAATAAGTAACATACAATTTTAAGAGGCACTTATTAGAATGACTCATAACCTTCTCTTCAGCTATTTGATGACTTTGAAAAATTTGAGTACAATTTAACAACAATAAATGTTTATTTATTATAGCAACATATTTCTTCAAACTCATTTGCCAAGTGGCTGCAGATGCTACACATCAAGCTGTTTATTTTCCCAAATATTTTGTGGGTTTATTATTTTTTTTTTAAAAAAAAAATAATAATTATAATAATAATAATAAAGAAGAAGAGTAAGAATTAAAAAAAAAAAAAAAGAAACTGAAATGTTAGAAAAGGTTCGTTAAGGTAGTTTGTGAGGGGCTCCCGGATTCGTGGCTGTCCAAGTTAGAGGTCACTGATGTCACTACAGTGATAGTGGGATTGGTCAGGTCTGTTAAAGTGGTCGCAGTGCCGGGTGGAGTGAGTGCGCCGCTGTCTGCTGAGGGCGGTGCCGGAAGTGAGGTGCCATCAGCTTTATCGACACCCCCATTCTCCTGCCGCAAAAGGTTCCTTCTGAATTTGGCTCTCGCGTTTTGAAACCAAACCTGCAAACCAATCCCAATTGATTTCTTTACCGATGCTTGTTTTGTTTTGCGTATTTTTGTCTTTGTTCTTGCTTTTAAGTCAGTTTTTGATGTTTGTTTTTGTGTGGCAAATCACCTAAGTCACTCTATAGCTTCACTTGCTACTGATGGTACTGACTCTTTCACAGGCAGGACCCTGCGTACAAGGCCCAATGCTACGGGTGCTCACTGGAGCGTTGCAGCCCAGCGTGCAGACCTCATAGAGCAGCCTTAAGAAAAATCTGCTTGCTTACTTATCCAAGAAAAGCAACTTTTTTAGTGGCCATGTAGTATATTCTTGGGTTGAGTGGGTTTGGGGTCAAGACACATGGTGAAGATTGAGGCAAAAGATGAATGAGCAGATTTTTGCCAAGGCTGAAAGTTTGCCTTGATCATTTTGAAAGACTGAAGAGGAAGGAGGGGTAATTACACCATCCCTATCACACAGGCTGTTGATATGGGTCACCTAGTCTTTCTGTTCTGTAAGGTTCACTGAAAATGTTTTAGGTGACATGTAACACGGACAAGGAATTGCTGCTAATGGGTTCTCCTTCTACCTCGATCGCTGCCCTTCTTTGGCACTCTGAATAGAATACACACCTCGCTTTAACTTCACTGAGCTAGCACACACTGTATAGGGATTTTTTTAATGTAATTTGCTAGGCTGTTGTTCACAGGGAAGTGACTTTTTACCGTGTAAGCCCTTACTGATAATAATTGTCTAACAGGCATTGAGAGAGGGAGCTGACTCGTCCTAGAGTATCACATTGGTCAAAGCTTGCTTCCTGCATATCAGAGGATCTACTCACTGAGGGGCCACATCAGCTACTACAGAGGAGCCTGAAGGCTGCACCCAGTGTGTATAAAATTAGTAGATTTGCTACCTCTACCCTTAATAAGGTCACCACAGAGAGACTACAAATCCCAGGATACCTGCTGGGTTGGTAGACTCTGGAGATGGTTTCCTCATGTTGAGGATGCAACTAATTACAAATCGCAGTTTGGTATTTGGCTGCCTTGGGCTGGTAGGGCATACATTGGGCACGTCTGCCATGCAATACCATACCCCTCTGCACACCCACTAGGGACACGCCTAGCAAAAGTATTTCCACATACATCACTGTCGTTACACGTAAGGGAAGTGCTATTGACTGGCAGGGGGAGGGGAAAATTCTGTCAAGCCTGTGATGCGGCTTCTTACCTGCAGAACTCTCTTGGTCAGGCCTGTTTTCTGGGCAAGCTGCTTGAGGTCCTTGGCATCTGGGTTGTGGTTGATAGCAAAGTAGGACTTCATGGTACGAAGCTGGTGGTGTTTGAAGGAGGTGCGCATGCGCTTTGTCTTCTGGGATGGGGGATAAGGCTGCTGGTCTCTGTCCAGGTGATCTGCCTCATTCTCATTACAACCTGTGCCATAAACAAAATGAAACAAGGAGTTAGTGGCCACGCATCATGGAAGATAAATGAATCGAGGCAAAAATCTTGAGCCTTTTGGAAGGAAGGAAACAAGCAAGGAAGGAGGGAAGGAAACAAGCAAGGAAGGAGGGAAGGAAGGGCTAAGATGGTGCAAGGATAAGTACAGATGTGATAATTAAATGGGACAAAAAAGATCCAGAAGATGACCTTTTCCTGTTCTTAAAACATGCTATGTCCCCCAGGCCTGTACCTACTAAGGGCAGACTTAGAAAGTTCTCTCTCCTTTGGCATTTATTTTCAAACAAGTCTTTTCCCTGTGGTGATGGTTTTGCTTTGGGCGTTCAAAGAGTCATTTGAAATCTCATTCAGATTTTGAAATCTCACTCATTGAAACACTCTTAGCTTGAGAGAAGAATAAAGGTCAAACCAGCATTTTGAATGTTCCTGAGCTTTTCCCCCAATCACAAGCACCTATAAAAAGAGATGTACAGCAGGAAAGTTTGTTATGACAGTCCATCAAGAAAGCATCAAATCTGGAGGTTTTTGCTGATAAAATAAATGCTTTTAGACCTTGTCTGGGAGTTTATATGAACTGCTTAAAGACCTTCATCTGTAAAACATGTCTAGAAAGCAGTTGCATCAGGGCTTGATTCAGTCCCTCAATCTCAATCCCAATCAGCAGCAGCTCTTGGTACTGATTTAGGATGTTTCTGTAAGCAACCAAGTAGTGGTTCCAAACTTTAAAAGAGTCTCCCTGCTTTCCCTTATTCAGGATTTTCAAAGCGTCTATGAAAGATGAATTTGTTTCAGACTACACTTTTATGGGTGTGAACTGTACATAAGAGCTGCAGCTCTTTGGGGACCGTGGCATCATTACTTCATACTGGGGAAAGAAGTAACAGAATTGTCAAAAAAAAAAGTAAGACAGACATCTAAGTTTTTCTTTTCGGCTTAAAAAAAAAAAAGGTTATCAATTTATAGGATCTTATTTTATAAAAATAGCTCAATTACACAGAAGAAAATTAGTGATGTCATCATAGCAGGGAATATTAATTAAAGAACAGCTAATTAAAAATGTTTCAGAATGTCTGTAAACTATACCAAGTTTCATTAGTTGCTCATTTGAATTTTTTAAATGCCTTCCAATAGTTATTGGCTTATTTACTAGGCCTAGTTGATCCCTATTTCTCAAAAAAAAAAAAAAAAGAGAGAGAAGGTGAAAGAGGGAAAGAACACAATACAGAGAGACTGATGTTGACAGTGCTAAAAACAGAGACAAAGCAACTTGAAACCAGGAGAAAATAAAAAGCTGCTTGAAGGTGTTTTCTCTTTTGAATTATAAGACAAGTCAACATGAACAGATGCTGGTAAGACAACACTTTGACAGAAAATCAGGTGAATATTTAATTACAGCTAGATTTGCTTCTAGTCTTGGTAAGAAGTATATCTGCACTTTCAAACAAAGTAGGCTGACACTTCTGAAAATACCAGGAGTTGAAAGTTGCCTTAAAAACAATTTCAGACCAGATTTGGATTGCATTTACTACTCATTTTCACAAGCAATCACATTGCCTTCAGTCGAACTATGTGGGCCGTAACTTATGAGCTGACACAAAGCAGAGTACCAGAATCCAGTCCTCAGGTTTTACTTCAGAGAGTTGCAAGCTGTTTGTTTGTGGTGTTTTCCTCGGGTCGCTCAGGTGTACAGCAGCAACACAAACTTCCTTGGGCTTCTCTGTCCTGCTTGCTGCCTTTGTTTCTGTGAGCTACTTTTTTGTCTGTGATCTACTTTATTCTGGTTTTTATGTTCAAGAGAAAATGGGAAGAGGGCTCCAAGCATCCTCAGACAATCCTAGTTTGTACAATGATTAGCTCACCCTCTATTCCACGTGGGTGAAACTGTGTTATGTGGTTTGGCCACATCATAAAAGCAGTTTTACACTACAGCCTGAAGAACTAAGGGGAAGCGAAAAAATCAAGCAAGACATTATTCCTCATTTCTTTGCAGCAGGATTGGGGGGTTGTTTAATTTTGCTTTGGAAAAAGCTAGAACAGTTTGCTTTTTATTGCCAAGAATGCTTCAAGTGAACTCTTCATAGTTTTTTTCTCTCACACACACATATATGTAATGAAATAAAGTAAACAGCTCTGAGCAACAGCTGTGTAAAATATTTTCCTAGGGAAATCTTCTTCACCATCTCATTTCTATATCCTGTGAGCTGTAAGTCAACACCGTTTCCCTCAAAATACATATTAATTCTATGATATAAGAGGTAATATAGAGAAAGCCTTGAATGTTTTAAGTACTTTTGAATAGTTCCTTCCATTTTTCACATTAATTCCAGACAGCTCCCAAGTATGAATGGCTTTTACCTCATAACATTTTGAGTTATTTATTGTTGTGTTTCCACTTTACCACCGAGGAGCTGAGAAACAGAAATTAAACTACTAAACAAAATAGAGAATAGAAAAGCTGTTGTAGATCCAGCAGCAGAATCTGATTTTCCATTCTGGCCCTGTGCTCTGCTCCCCTGAAACAAAATGCGCACACAAATCTGAGCCAGGTACTGCCGGGGCGCTTGTGAATACGCGCATTTTTATGCTCGGCTGGTGAAGTTTTTAGCCTGATCAGTTAGTGCACTGTTGTTTTTAAAGGCCGGGTTCGTTTTCCGTAACGGCTTGCCGTATCGACGTGGGCACCCTGGGGTACGACTCTTTCGGTGGGACACCGGTCGGATTTACTAGGGGAGTCAAATTCGTGGCGCTCACCGAACACCCAGTGACAGGAGCAAACTTTCGCTGCGGCTCAGAAGCTGCCTGCTCAGCGGCGGAGCGCTGCAGCCCGGCGGCAGGCAGCGGCGGATGGGTCAGGGCAGCGCCC